TCAGCTCCCAGGCCGGCCGGTTTCCGTCATGCAGGTCGAACCCACAGGCCTCTGTACCGTCACAGCTTTGGAAGCTGAAATGGTCTCCACTGCCCGTCAGCGATCCAAGGAAGCTTTGAAAGCCACGGCTCGTTGGCAGACACTCAGGCCGGCAAAAACCCAGGTGCCATTTCCCTACCATGTGAGTGCTGTAGCCAGCCTGCCGGAGCCTCTCAGGGAGCGTCGGTATGTCGGAGGGCAAGCAGAGGGGCTGCCGTGCACGGATGATCGAGTGTTGAAGCCCAGTGTGAATCTGATACCTGAAGCAATAGATGGTAGGTGGTGATTGTGATGGAGGAACACAGATTATACACCAAGGTTCCTCAAATCTCGCACTGGAGGGCCACTGCCTTGCAGAGTTCAGCTCAAATCCTGATCAAACTCACCTACCTGTAATTTTGTTGTAACTATGAAGACCTCGATTAGCTTGCTCACAAGTCTTTGATTAGGGTTGGAGCTAAACTTTGCAGGACAGTGGCCCTCAAGTTCTGGATTTATGGAACCCTTGTCTATACAAATAAATTCACTGGGTTTAACTTCAATAGAGAAAAGCTACTTATACTGAATATGCAATATATCGAATTAGACAGTATAAGATAATTTATAGTAGTATATTCATAATTGTAATAAGTATACAGTAGTCAACATTTGAAGTGGATCAAAAAAGTTAATCAAAGTTGTCCTAAGACAAGAATGCATTTTGGTTTTAGGACTTCAACTTTGATGAAAGGTTTTGATCCACTTCAAATGTTGACTAGTGTATACAGTAAGATTCATGCAGTGTTTAAACAAAATAGTGCCATTAGAAAACAATAGTGGGTCTCTTACCTTCCAGTCATAAGCTGGCTGCGTGTGGGGGAACAGATTGGCTGAACATAGTAGTTTTCTAGTTTCACCCCTTCGCCAGCCAGCTGGTCCAACACGGGCGTGTGGATCTCTGAGCCATGGTACCCAATGTCATTGTAGCCTTGGTCATCCACCATCACGAAAACAATATGTGGGGGAACTCTGCCCCGTCTGAGAACCTTTTCCTCTGTAGTATGTATTAGTCCTAGCGCCAAGCAGAAGCAAAGCACCAGTGCATCCATAATGTGGACACCAATCCACCAAATTGCTTGTCCGTTGACTAACCCTTTGGTGACTCCTTATGTTGACGTTCAACTTGAACCAAGCCAGATTAACAGAGAATGCTTGCTGTAATACTCCATCTAGCAGCCTGAAGGTCTTTTTTCCCACTAAAGTAGATTTGGCTCCTTTAATTTAGTTACAAACGAGTAAATGATAAAGGAAACTCGTTCTGTAGCTCTTCTCGATTTGTTAGTCTAGGGTGGCATTCTGTATGTCTGAGTAACTTTGTGAGCGGAGCTGAATTGTTTGAGAGTAAACACTGCTGTCCTCTAACAGGACCATGTTACATTCCTCTAGCACGCCAACCTACAGGATCATGTGCTTGTGTTTGAAATTTTATAAATTGGTAAATAACAAAACTTGATAACTTGGTTTTATAAATGTTAAGATATTTACACAGTTTGTAGCAGATATATACTTTTAACACAGTTTCACTGTGATGGTGCATGTGAGTGTTTCTTGATGGGGGAACTGTATAAAAAAAAAAGGAAATATAATAAAAATACAAGGCAATTTGAAAAAATTAAAGGAAATACAGTGTTGACAACACCTGGTCAGTAAGTGTATTACACCCATCAAATAATAAGAAGGAAAGATTCCTCCTCAATCTTCCAATTCACAATTTCCATCAGACATAAACCGTGGGTGATATTGACCCAGAACAAGCATCAGTGCAGGTGAAGCAGTGTTGATGAGACAAACCTCACATGTTGTTTTATTGATCTTTTAATTACCGCAGAACCCCATAAAGGCGTTTACCTGATAATGAGTTCCCAGAACAGAGGCTGTGGAGGCCAACTTTCCTGTATACCGGCTAAGTGATGCTTACTGTGGAAGTGTTCGGGGAAAGGACAAGCACTGATCTACTGAACCCAAAGAGAATGCAGTCAATAAAGCCTTATTAGATGCACATCATTTAAAGGGATAGTTCACCCAAAAATGAAAATTCTGTAATTTATTCACCCTCATGTTGGTCCAAACCTGTATGACACTTTTTCTTCTGCTGAACACAAAAGTTGGTAACTGTTAAACAGTTTTAGCAACCATTGCATGTCTCGGTCATAATATAACTTTTTTTAAGACCACTCTCCAGCCCAAAAGATACATTTTTATTTCTCACGATTAAACCCCTTTTTAAAAAAAAAGAAGAAAAAAAAAAAAAAGTGTGTCCCTTCCATTCCATCCATAAAATCAGTAGCAACTGCAGAAACACACACCAACATACCTGGCCTGGGCTCGTATTTGGAGTAAAAGTGTCACGTTGTGAACCCTACCGATTCAGTAAATCACAAGAGAAACCAGTGTCATTGAACTAGTGGCCTCTGAATTCCACTGATAGATAACAAATTATGTGACGTTTGCAAACAACAGCTACACCAGGAACACCTATAGATGAAGGTAAAATGCCACAATAGTAGATTACTGGTCTAGTTGTATAGGCGAAGGTTGTGAGAATTAAAATGGGGGAAACAAACAATGACACACGAGCGCTTTCTCTCTCTCCAATGAGAGGAGAGGTGCGGCCCTCTGAAGGGCTATCGACCGCTCTCAGGTTTGCTCTGCCAGCGATCTCCTCTATGTAGCAGAGAGGAAATCAATGCCACGAAATGAGTCAATTTCCTACATTAAGCCAAAACAGATGACAGTCTCGCCCAAGTGGGAAATTTCACAGCCATTTCAGAGCAGGGAGAGAAAATGGAGGAGGCAGCCAGAGGGAAAGAGGAGGGGGAAAAATACACTCAAAATGAGTAGCCTTGCCCGTTTACTGTGTAGTAAGCAATGAATTGTCATCAAGGCTTTAGTGCAACTGGTTTTGATTTAGATTAGGTTTTACCTTGGACATTTTTTTTTTGGATGAGCACAAATATACAAAAAAACAACATATTTAAAGTAAAATTTACTATGAGATGTTGAATGGCACCGAAAATGCAGTATTTTAACGGTCCACTGTTAACTGTTTTTTGTCCACACAATGAAAGCCTGAAGGACACAAACAGACAAAATTGTTCTTTTGTGTTCCACAGAAGAAAGTCAATCATTTATGTTAGGAACGAAATGATTACAGAATTTCCATCACTTTAAAGTACTGAAAGCACAACGTGACAAAAGACAACATTGAACTTTCTCAAGAGGATGATTACATTTAAAAAGAATCATTAACATCATTTAAAAAAATTGACATATCCTGTTTAGCAAGTCAGTTAGGACAGCAGTGGCTCTTTAGTTATGCTACTACAATTAAATATACATGAATAATACACAAACACACTCAATAGAGGTGTAAACCCATTTGTGGCCAAACACCCACCGAGCAGCCCATTAAGCATCAAAGCTCATATGTTATTAATTAATGGATGAGTGGAAATGTTCCAGGTGTGCAGCCTGTGTATGCATGCATTCTGTGATATGAAGAGAGCATTAGCCTCAAATCACTCAAAGTCTATAGCTCCACTATGTGGAGAGAAAAGGCATGACAACTGGAATGCTACTTACGGAGATGACAAAAAGACCAGTCGTTTAACAACTTGCTGCATTCAAAAATGAAACTGAATGCGGTTATTTACACATTGTGTATTACACAACTAATGACAGGTCCATATCAGGTGCTCATGCGTCGTGCTGGCGTATTTGGAGAAATGATTACAACTAGTGCATTTCGAAAGGGAAATCATCTTACATTTACAGGTGCATCTCAATAAATTAGAATGTCGTGGAAAAGTTCATTTCAGTATTTCAACTCAAATTGTGAAACTCGTGTATTAAATAAATTCTATGCACACAGACTGAAGTAGTTTAAGTCTTTGGTTCTTTTAATTGTGATGATTTTGGCTCACATTTCACAAAAACCCACCAATTCACTATCTCAACAAATTAGAATACTTCATAAGACCGCAAAAGGAGGCCCTACCAAGTATTGAGTTCATGTACAGTAAATGAACATACTTTCCAGAAGGCCAACAATTCACTAAAAATGTTTTTTTTATTGGTCTTATTAAGTATTCTAATTTGTTGAGGGTTTTTGTGAAATGTGAGCCAAAATCATCACAATTAAAAGAACCAAAGACTTAAACTACTTCAGTCTGTGTGCATTGAATTTATTTAATACAGGAGTTTCACAATTTGAGTTGAATTTCTGAAATAAATGAACTTTTCCACGACATTCTAATTTATTGAGATGCACCTGTATGTCTCTTTTTACAGTTAAGTTTTCGCTTAACTCTTCCACAGGAAGCTCATTAAGCAGTAGTGTGATGTGTGGTTAGAGAAATGTGGTTTGCTTGAAGTCACTGAAATGAAGGCTGAGCTATTATTCACTATTAGACACAATATGACTGTTACACACATTTCTTTTCTTGTGCTTTTAAGCAGCAAATATGAAAATATTTAAAAGTGCTTCCCTAGAGAGAACTGTGATCCCTTTGAAAGGTAATATGGTGGCAACACTCACAGGCAGCCATTTTCTCTGGCAAGTTTAGCTCCTCTACTTGAATGAAGAAAGACCAAAATCTCTAAACTGATTTTAGGAACATATACCGACCGTCCAGCAGCTTGGGTTCAGTAAGAATGTTTTGTTGTAGATTTCCATTTCAAGTATTTTTTTCCTTTTCTATTCATCAAATAATCCTGAAAAAGGATTTCTGAAGGATCATGTGATGCTGAAGACTGGAGTAATGGCTGCATTAAAAAAAAATCTTACAGTCCCTTACAGACTTTTTAGCCCATAATACCTTCTGCTCTTTTCTCAAAAGGCTCAATTCCAGACCAAATGATTTACACAAACATATCCAACCTCTCTAAGTGTTTATTAGAGATAATACAGCGTTGGGAGTTTTTAAAATACATTTTTTTACAAAAGAAAAAAAGACAGCAGCTCCTCCTTGTGTAGGACAGACCACAAATCAAATCACAGCACAGCCCTTCTCCTCTCCCGCTTTCACAGCTCCTGACATGCAACACATCTGCCACAGCGTCTACAGTAACTTCCACACTTCAGTGTGCGTAGTGTAGAGGAAAGTGCATGGATAAGATAAATACGGAGATACACCTGATAAGACACTTGAAATAAAAGCTTTCCACTGGACTCGAGACATTGAACAGATGCTCCCTCGATTGCATATACTTTCTTACCGTTTGGTTTCTGATCCAGCTTTGTGCGTTTGTGCGCGTGGGGAAGAGAAGGGCTGTAGATCTGACATCCTATAGGCGTCCCATCCAAACAGAGCTCTGGCTGTACACAAATGCTGTCAGGTTCAACCGTCACAATCCCACCCACCCGGACCCAAAATATACAACGCTTTTAAATGTACAATGTTTTACAATCATTCCTCAGACGAGATGATCAAGGCTAGACTGTGTGTGTTTATTGTACGAGTACTAGTGTGTATTCACACACTTAAGTCACCAATAAATTCATGCTTGTCCACATCGGTAGTGCGTTCTGGGCCTGACAGGCAGGTCTGTCATTAAGGTAAAAGGAGGGACTACATTTCCCAGCATTCCCTCATCTTCAACATCTCAGACAGTGAGCACCTTGGCAGCAGAGAGAGGCTGAGGTTTGCAGTCCATTTCAAAGCCGTCAGTCATTTCATCTGCTACTATAGTTATGAACCGAGTGGTTTTGGTACCTCTGTAGTGAGCGGACACTGTTTTTTAGGTGTTCTGATACTGGAGGTGCAGGAGATGTCCTCTCAGCTCCAGCTGGTGCTCTGGAGCTCTTCTCTGAGCCAGGTGGGTAACGCCTGACCCAGTCGATTCAGCAGCCGAAACAATTCCAGGTTATGCTCCAGGTAGTACTCCGTCAGGAAGGCACGTGTCTGGGAAAGACACAAACAGAGCTGTTTGAGGAAGCCTGCAACTCCTAACTGCTGTGTGTTGTAACTAACAACAGCCTGTAGCCATGACTATGTTCAAATATAAAACATCTGTGAGTGCCTTCACATAAATGACAACCTATTTACCCGCTACCGTTTTTGTTTTATACAATATACAATATTATTAGTATTATTACATTAATTCTGTTTATCTATATCAAACAATAACATTAAAAATTAAATGATTATTGTAATTCTTATTACTAATAATTAAATATACAATTAATATTAATATTAATAATACAATTATAAATTATTGAATTATTATTAGCAATAGTAGTACTACTAAAATATTAGAATGTATTAAGTATTAGAATGAATTTATTATGTATTAAGTATTAGAATTTATTATGAAATAAAAAAATTATTAATTCTATAATTATTTTAAATGATTATTTAAAAATGACTTATTATTGGATGATGATTATGATGATGATATATTTTACAATTATAAATAATTAGTTCTATTAATTCTTCTTATCTATAATTATTTCAAAATACTAAAATGTTATAATTGATAAAATTACAAATGTTTGAACATTAAATTACAAAATTAGAAATTGATGATGATAATATTAGTAACATTATTATTATTATTTATAAAAAAAAAATACAAATTGTTGTATTATTGTTACTACAATTATTATTAATCAAATTACCAAAGTTTTATGTAGTGGAATCAGCTGATCATTTTAACTGACCTGTATATTTATTTGATTTCACTATGCCATTTACTGTTTGTTTCATAGAAATAATGTGAAATAATGTTTACCTTTCAAGTACTAATAAAAAACATGACAAAAAGCCAGATGTGTACATGATCTAGAAGCCACTCAGACAGCATGTGTTTTTACATTCCACTTATATATATATATATATATAACATTTATTTTGTTGTAATTGTTGGTCTATGCACCAGACAAAGTCAAGTTAAACGGTTTTCTGAAAACGGTTAAAAACTGTTCAACTGTAAACATTGAGACTGCCCGTGTGTTGTTTCATTCTGTTTGCAACGAAACAAACATGCTTGTTGCATTCTGCTAGTTGAAACATTTCCAGTGATATATGACATGACTGATATGATCTGATCTGTGTGAGGTTGAGCCCATCACTTCTCACTGCCAGAGAGTCACGTCTATAAGAGTGTGTCCTTGCCACTGGCATCGTTCAGAAAGAGAGAGAAAGTTTTATGAGGGAGGAGAGAAGAGATGAGACTATCATCTACCTCGGGGGCCATTTCTGGATATTTTCTGCCTTTACTCTTCCCCAGACACTTAGGACGCCCACCTTCCAACCTCTGACACCAGAATCCTTTACCCTCATCAAAGCTGCAATACACAGATAACACACAACCACACAGTTTTATATAAGAAACATGTTCAGGTTATTCACAGCTATAGTGTTCATCAACAGAGTGAGGTGAACAGTGGGACTCACACGAGAGCCTGGGTGTAATTGAAGATGGGTGTGACCCCCAGGAACTGCTGGATGCCGTCCATCACCAGGGCTGGGTTAGATCGGAGCAGGGTACCATCTACAATATGGAGCTAATGTGGAGGAGTGTCAAAAAAAAGAGTTCAGAAAACAAATAGCAATGCTAATTTTGAAAAATTTTACTGAGAAAAATATTTGTTGGTAATAAATGCTATACTGGCAAAGTAAGCAGTGGTGTTGTTGTGAACTAAAAATAAAGCTGGAATAAAATAAAATAAATTAGATGAAAAACATTATAAATGGTGCCTTGTCAAATAACCAAAATAAAATCGTAGAATTACTGAAATAAATGAAAAAGCTAAATGAAAATGACAAGCACATAAAATAAAATGCATTAAAAAATTACATGTATATATTTAAATAAAAGCCACATTCAAACCTACAGATTTCAAATGCATTTGCCCTGATAGTTGTTAAACACATTAAAAACAAGAAAAGGCAATCGTACGGAGATAACTGCAGTACCTGTCTGGCCTGGTAGTGCACAAGCCAGTGCTCTAGATGTGTGGCGTAAGTCCCAGGCTTAAGGCTGCGGTTCTGAAGAGTCAACAGCTCTTTAGATGCAGACAGACCTGCTGTTACAACCTCGTGGAAGGTGTGGTTAATGGCAACAGGGTCCTGGTGTGCTCGCTGGTGCTGACAAGACATAAAAAAAAACACAAATCGCGTCATAATTTCTATGGTGAAAGAGAAGGGTTCAGGGATAAGATAAATGCTATCTGGCTAGGCCAAAGCTTCAGACAAGAACCTCTACTTTCTGCAGTCCATATATGGGCGGCCCTATTAATGCACAAAATGACCTCATGAAATTAATGCACGAAATTGCCTCAAAAGTCTACGTCTACCACAAAGACGTGATTTTTCAGTAAGTAATTCAGTGATATGTCTCAGGTAATGGGGATATTTTCTGAGTGCCACTCCATTAAAGGGGTCATATGATGTTGCTAAAAAGAACATTATTTTGTGTATTTGGTGTAATGAAATGTGTTTATGCAGTTTAAGGTTAAAAAAACACATTATTTTCCACATACAGTACATTATTGTTTCTACTCTATGCCCCGCCTTTCTGAACGCATCGATTTTTACAAAGCTCATCGGTCTGAAAAGCGAGGTGTGCTCTGATTGGCCAGCTATCCAGTGCGTTGTGATTGGCCGAATACCTCAAGCGTGTGACGCAAATGTTACACCCCTTACCATACTGTGATGCCCTGTCCCGGCGCGATGAGACAAAAACATTAAAACCCATTATAAACGAGGCATTTGTTGCATCCAGTGGGGACATAATTACAGATTATAATGACTTGTACTGTCTTTTTACACGTTGCATTGCGTATTGCACTGCGTAAACATAAAACTATGTCTGCATTTGTGATCGGAGAAACGACAAACAACAAGCGCTAAACTCGCGTTTGAATCATCAGTGGCAAATCCTTTAAATATGAAAACCTACTTACAGGCTGTGAGTCAGCATTATTTGTCAGCATCATAGACTATATAGGGTCAGCATGCGCGCCGAAGGGGAAACAGGGGAACTGAATTCACTGGAACACCGGCGGCTACTCTCCCAGGAAACAGTCCTCCGTAAAATGTGCTGCACACATCTGAATATTTGGGTTAAACTGTTCTGGAATAGTGTTGTAAATACAACTTAACCACTGATTTCTAGTTGTGTCCTCTTTTGGAAGGCCAAACAAAGTAGTTTCACTTTCACAAAGAAACACACAGCGTCTCCACGACATGGCGGCGGCGGCAAAAATACTACAGCGAGAATCAAAGTTACGCCTTCTTTCTTTGATTGAACATTTGGAAGGTGTTACGCAAATCTTCCCACATCATGACGTAGACATGTGGGGGCGTGTTTAAACGAGGCGTTTTAGGAGGGCGTGGACGAGTCTTAACTTTTATAAAGAATATCTCTTTGGGTTTGAGACTTTAGTCTTTGCAACTTTAGGGATCTTATCTATTCACGAACAGCTTGTAACACTCCAAAGAGAAAGGAAAACTTGAAGTCGCATCATATGACCCCTTTAAAAAAATTCTAACAAGACATTTAAATGATTACTACTGCTGGAATATTACATCTATTACAGAAAACAGACCACACAACATGAGAGAAAGAGGGAGGGAGAATGAGAGAAAGCTGTTGTAGAGTACCTGATACCAAGAGTAGGCTCTGTCGACTGGGTTGATAAGCAATGCTAAGATCTTGGCTCTGGGCAGTAAGGCGGCAGCTCTCTTTGGAACCACCTCTGTATCAAAGTAGTTGGCACTTTTCTCAAACATGAAGTCTGTGCTGACGTTCGAGGGGAAGGGAAAGAAGTCCATGTACCTGCAAGAGATTAAGACACGCAATAACAACAAATATGCTACAAGAGGCTACAATAAATTATTTTATTTAGTATTCTATTACAGGACACTAACATCATCTCACTATTAAAAGTGATGGATCTATTAAAATTTCAATATGAAACCTAAACAGTCTTACAGATATAATAAAGTGGAGGGGTGATAGAAACAAACTTGTTATGACTAATGACTTGTGTCTGCTACACTGGCTGGGAGAGAAAAAGCTGTGCTGTGTATATTACCAGTCAATGCCGTTGTGGTAATTTGGCCCGTTAAAGAACTGGATCTCCTCAAAGGTGACTGGGCTGGGGAAGTTGCTGGTGATGGCGGGGTGAAGGGTCAGGAAGGAGTGCAAAGCTGAGGTACCTGTGGTCAGAAATAAACAATATCAAACGCAATCTCTAAGGCTGCATTTTTGGTAATTTATTTGGTTACCCTAAGTAAGATTTAAGGTTTGAGTATGGAAATACCAGGAATCACCTGTTTTCTGTGGGCCAATAACCAGAAATTTGGGTAGCCTATCACAGGTCTTCTCTTTGGACCAGATGTCTTTATGTCTCTTGTCATGACAGGGGTTCTGAATGGATGAAAAGATGAATACACCATTCCCATGTTTTTGCATTTCATATTTTATTTGATTAATGAATTTACATAAATTTTCCATCCATTCATTAAGAGATGAATTCATTTTTAATTATTAGAATATAATTGATAATATTATTAATCTATAAATATAATTAAATATTTTTAATTATACAGTGGTGTGAAAAAGTGTTGGCCCCCTTCCTGAT